TGGGGTAAGGGCGGAGGGAAGGATAGTTGGGGAAGGGATGTCGGACCAAGGGAAGAGATAGTACAGGGGCGAGTGGAGGCAGAGAGCGAAGAGAAATGAGCAGAGGAGGGAGAGGGGATGATTGGGGGACCGTGGCGGGCGGGGAAGGGATGGTCAGGTGGAGGTTGCGAGGGCGGAAGGAAGGGATGTGGAGGGGCTTGGGGAAGTGGCGGGGCGCAGGGATAGTAGGGGGAAGAGCTGTCGGGGGAAGGGGAGGCCGGGGGGAGAAGTGTTCGGGGAGGTGGCGGGGGAGGGGCGGAAGGAAGGATGTGGGGGAGGGGTGGCGGGGGTCGGAGCTCCGGGCTGGAGTCGGGCAGGGATGCTGGAGAGAGAAGCGGGGAAGGACAGTGGGAGAGCTCCTGGGCCCGAGGTCCAGTGTCAGGCTCCATCTCCACCTGTCCAGGGCAGGCTGGCTTGGGCCGCAGGGGCTCCCTGGGCAGAGGGGACCTGGGGACGGCCACAAGGCCTCACGCAGGCTGGGGTGCACGGCGGGCTGCGTGTGGCCCGAGGACGAGGGAGAGAGCGCCAAGCCGGCCAGGCCTGCTGGGATCAGCGCTCCGCGGCGGCTGCCAGGGTGGCCGTGCGCTGCTGCTCCCTCCGCGCCACCCGGGGGCAGACTCCGGGCAGGAACAGGGCGTGCCTGCCGGCTCCACCCGGGTGCCAGGGGTCTGGCGCTCAAGGCCCGAATCCGATGTTTGGCCAAAGTCCTTGTTGGCCTTCCAGCACTCCCTGCGTCCCCGAGGGCGCGCGAGGCTCGAGTGTCTGCCTCGGCGCGAGGGAGGACGTTTGCAGCGCCGGGGCGGCGGTCGCCCCAGACCTCCCGGCTCCGACTCGGGCCAGAGCGCTGCTCTCTGTGGATGGTGTCTTGGCAGAGCGGTCGGGGGTTATCCGGAGATGGGGGGCGCCCCGGCTTGTGCAGGAGGCCCCCACCGCGCAGAAGAGGCCCAGTGACCAGGAGGCCCAGGTCGCCGAGGCAGCCACCGCCCGGACCTGGCCCCTGCCGGGGCGACGCGGGACTTGTGGCATCCAGAACTGCCCGCGAATGCATGCTGTTTTCGCCGCCGTGTGTGTGGCTAGAGGTCGAGGGAGGGCACGAGCGCTCCCTCACCTGGCTGGCGCGGCTGTGGTTTGGGGACCAGGCCTGCAGTCACCCCGCGGGGTCACGGGAGGCGAGAGCGAGTCCACCGGACACGCCGGTGGCAACGGAGGGTATTGTACAGGCAAAGAACGCCAAGAAAGGGTTGGAGGGGCCGCAAGAACGCCGCCAGGCCCCCAAGCCTGTTGGGGACCCGCGGTGGCCAGCCTCCATCTCCTCTTGGAGCCCTGGTTCTGGTCTTTCCCTGTGGGCAGCGTCTCAGGGCCACAGAGGGCACGGGGGAAGGGGCTGCGGTGGGCTCCCACATCAGCCCCTCTGACCACGTGGGCTGCGGCCACCAGAATCCTGCTCAGGACGAGGGCAAGTGTTGTGATGCGGGGAGACTGGCGCCCATGGCCACTCTTGGCGGGGACACCAGTCGGGGCTGTGGCTGTGGCAAAGTGTGGTGACTCTCAAAAAAAATGTAACATGGAATTACCTCAGGACTCAGCAGTTGGAAAGCAGGGTCTCCAACACACATTCACACACCAGTGTTCTGGCAGCTTTATTCAGTCGCTAAATGTGGAGGTGATGCAAGTGTCCATCAACAGATGAAAAGACAGGACGTCTATCCACACAGTGGAACATGACAGCCTCAGAAAGGAAGGAAATGGTGGCACATGCACGTGGGTGAACCTTGGGGACACCGTGCCAAGTGAAGTAGGCCATGCACAAAATGACACACTGTGCAACTCCACTTGCACTGTGGCACCTGGAGTGGTCAGACTCACAGAAGTTAGGAAGGTGGTTTCCAGGGGCTAGGTTAGTATTTAATGGATACAGTTTCAGTTCTACAGGACTGGACACTTCAAGATGGTTTACACTTCGTGTACTTTAACACAATAAAAAAAACTGGGGTAAGAAATTGGAACCAGTGCTAATCCATTCAGGTCCAGCAGGGCAGGGCTCAGTCACTTGGTAGGGACACATAGCTGCCACTCTGACAGCACGGACTGGGAGGCAGGAGAGGCCAGGAAGCGGACATGCCACGTGCCCCAGCGTGCATTCTTAGGCTCTCCTAGCATGACAAAGAGCAATACTTTTCCCTCTTCTAGTTGGGTCCGCCTCTGTGGAAGTAGGTGGATTGGGCTTCATAAAAATCTTGAGATCTTTATGGAATGTCAGAGGCAAACTGTGCCTAGAACAATCCCCCACCACACCCGCTATGACACGGGGGGGGGGGGAGGCCTGGCCATGTGTGTGGGGTTGCCCTGGGAGGAGCCCACGATGGGCAGGTCATCACCTCACGTACACACCAGACCCAGTCCAGATCAAGAAATTTTCCTGTATCGTTTTTGACAGCAGCATCAAAGAGAAGGGCCATAGCTTCTGTGATAACTTGATAGATGGTTTCCTGTCACTTATGTCATGGTCAACTTCCCCACAAGGCCTAGGAGGCTCAGAGCTGAGGGCTAGCAATGCATTTAGGATCCGTGAAAAAGTTTTCATTTCAGTTTCTCTTTAAATCAGAAAAAAAAATTAATAGTAATGAATATATAATAATGGATCCAGTCTGGATTATATTTATCTTTATGCCAATGCCATTATTAAATATATTTTTAGTATTTTTTAAAGGAGGAAGACACCCACACACAAAGGAAAAAGTCCCTAGGGCCCACAAAAGTCATCCTGTGCTCCTCTTTTAAATAACTGTCATGACCATTCTCCTAAGGCATTTCTGTTGGTATGTCTGGCTTTATCGTAGGACTAATTTCTAGAATTAGATTTGCACAGAGGAAGACTAATGAGATTAGAAGTTGAGCTCAGACCAACAAGGACTCTCAAATCCCAACAGAGATTTCTGCTGTCTATACAACTTGTAAACAAACACTGGAGATTTTTCCCCCCAAAGTCTTCACTAATCTATCAATAAATCATTCAAAAACGCAAAACAATTTTAGTCATTGTTTGTTTGGGAAAATGTGGGGCTTGCTTCCTTTGTGTTTAACTTGACAATGGTCACTGGAAATTTAAAGAGTTACTCCCATCAGTTTGAGATTGGGAGAATAAAGCTGTAGGGTTCCTTCTCCTTGCTCTGCGGTTGCCTCACTGGGAAGCAGCCTGCACTCTGGAGAGAAGCCCCACCTCACTGCCCTCACCAGCCCCTCTGCCCACGGCGAGGCAGCTACCAGGACAGGAGGGAGGCGGTCACCAACCCACAGCCTGGCTTTTTGGGAGGGCGGCTGGCCAGAGCAGCGTCCATCTGGCAAATGCCTTGAGGGGACAGTGCCGGAGCCACATCGCAAGAAGCGTTCCTCCAGAAAAGCCCTCCGAACCTAGCGAGTCTTCACTAGTTGAAATTGTATTCCCTGTTGAAATTACTTCCACAATGATCAACAAAACATAAACAACCAAACTAAACTCCAGGTTTATGATGCAAAAATCCCCCAAACAAAACAGTCAAGGAGAAGTAAAGAAATGAAGAGAAACAATGTGGCAGTGCATATGCTGGCCGCAGGCTGTCTGCAGGCTCGCACGCTGCAGAGGTCAAGGCACTTGAGCCGCCGTAGAGATGTTCCCGGACACCACTGAAGAGTTGGCGCCTCTCACCCTGCCAACGAGCCTGTGTCAGGGCTATGCTTATGTTTTGCCCTCCACGTGTCATACTTCCATAGATGACAGATGAGTAAGGACTTTTGGAGAAACTGGAATAAACCGGGCCCACTCACGGGCATTGAGACTAAGTTCAAAGTCAGAAAAATGTCCCAGGTCCGGTCCCATTAGTGGCTGCCTGTGGCTCACCCAGGGAGGTGGCCAGTAGGACCCAGTCACCTGGGGGGCCACATGGAGTTTCCTCTCCAGTGCTCGACGACCACTTTGGCTTCCCCAGACTAGAAGGAACCCCGAGGACCACCAATGAGTGACATTTTCATGGTGATGGATCGGGGAAAGGACAGGGCCACAGACCTGCAGATTTGCAGTGGGCTCTGTAGCCTGCCGGCCCTCCCTTGCATGGAGAGCCTCCTCTTCACTCGGTCAGAGCCCAGGGCAAAGCTGCTGCTCCCACTCCCAGGAGAAAGGCCCAGCCCTCTGGCCAGGAGACCCTGCCAAGAGGAAGTCCCCAAGACCCGGGAGGGGTAGGGGACACAGGCTTCCCAGGGTCCACCGGCCAGAGCAGGAAGTTGGCTGGGGCTCTGCCCATTAGCTGAGCAAACAGTGAGGTTCTCAGGCAGACAGGGTGAGGCCCAGCCCTGGAGGGGGTGAGGACAGGGTATATGAAACCCTCAGGGCTAGGCTCTGGGAAGCCCATCTGAGGTCCCGGAGTCCACAGAGCACCACTGCACCATGAAACTCACCACCACCTTCCTGGTGCTCTGTGTGGCCCTGCTCAGCCACTCCGGTGAGTGATCCCCCGGGCTCCCCACTGTAGCCATTGACACATGGGGCGCCAGGCCACTCCTGCTGGTCCCCCAGGCTCACCTCCCATGCCCGGCCTCCTGCCCCCCAGGGCCCCCCGTCCCCCCAATTCCTGTGGCCCTCAAGCCCTCTGGCCTCCTCTCACACTCTTCCGCAATTTGGGTTTCTCTGACCCACTGACAGCTGCTCCTGGTCTAGGAACACCCATCTGTTCCCTGTCTGGGGAACGTCCAGGCACAGCACGAGGGTCCCCTCCTGTGGGGAGCCTGCAGAGTCCACTTGTCCTTCCTCTACCCTCAGGCTGCCTCTATGTCCTTCTTGGCAGCAGTCTCTTCGCTAAGCCACGGCTGTCTGTATTTGAGGCTGCTTCTCCGACCAGTGGGAGCCCTCCAGAGCCTGGGCTGGGTCAGACCCATCTCTGTGACCCTGGACTCGGACTGGGCACCCGGCAGCCACCAGCGAGGAAGGGAGTGGGTGGACAGCGGTGCTGGGCGGGGAGGCTCTCCTGAGGCCCTCCCCGAGAGGACAAGTCGTCAGCGGGTCTCCTTGGGCACCCATGCCTACAGTGGCTGATTCTTCCCTGTTTGTAGCTGCCGCTTTCTTCATGGACTCAGTGGCTGAGCCTGTGGCCCAACCTGTGGCTGCCCTCAACTCTGCCACAGGGGCCATGGCCAACCCCCTTCTGACCCACTTCAACCTCCTGAAGTTCATGCTGTCCAGCCTGGGGATCCCCGTGGAGCACCTCATAGAGGGCTCCCAGAAGTGTGTGGCTGAGCTGGGCCCTGAGGCCGTCGGGGCCGTGAAGACTCTACTGGTAACACGGGCATGGGTGTCCCTCCCCAGCCATCCTCGATGACATACCAGAGGCACGCTGGCCCTACATCAGGGCTCACGTCCATCTTGCTCTCAGGCCCTGTCCCTGGGAGAAGCTTGGGACCTCGGGTGTGAACTAGGCTGACCTCGGGCAGGGGCTGGGCTGGTGCAGCCCCCATGGGGAGGCTGCCAGGGAGCTACAGCACTCTGGCCCAGGGCCCACTCCCCATCTCACCTGGGAGCCCTCCCAGAGCTGGTAGCTGCCTGACTTCTCCCGAGTTCTCCCTGGTGGCAGTGAGGGGCAGGGCACACTTAAGTTTGGCTTCACCTTTCCAGGGAGCCCTGACAATGTTTGGTTGAACAGAGGCTGGAGCAGCTTTGCCTGAGGACAAGATGCTGCCCACCTGACATCCATGGCCTTCCCTCCCTTTCTTAATAAACATGGTTAAGAGCAACTTGGGTTGATGTGTTCTTGCCTGAGTGCCAAACTCTGCGGGGAGCCAGGAGCACCATGTCCCAGATTATGTGAGGGTGTGTGTGTGCATGAGAGAGAGAGAGAGAGAGACAGAGAGAGAGAGAGAGACAGAGAAAGACAGAGACAGAGGAGGGAGAGAGACAGATAGAGAGGAGGGAGGGAGAGAAACAGAGGAGAGAGAGGGAGAGAGAGGAGGGAGAGGGGAGAGAGAGAGAGAGAGAGACAGAGAGAGAGACAGAGACTGGAGGGAGGGAGGGAGAGAGAGAGAGAGAGAGAGGAGGGAGAGAGGAGAGAGACAGGGAGAGAGGAGAGAGAGAGGAGGGAGAGAAGAGAGAGAGGAGGGAGAGAGGAGAGAGGAGGGAGAGAGGAGAGAGACAGAAGGGGAGAGAGGAGAGAGAGAGGAGGGAGAGAAGAGAGAGAGGAGAGAGCGAGAGAAGACAGAGACTGTTTAGGAGAGAGAGAGAGAGACGGGAGTGAGGAGGGAGAGAGACAGACAAGGACGAAGAGGAGCAGCAGACAGAAACGGAGAGAGAAGAGAGGAGGACGGTGGCGAGAGGGAGAAGACAAGACAGAGCGAGAAGGAGAGAGACAGAAAGGGCGAGACCGAGAAGGTGGAGAGAGGGAGGGAGGATGAGAAGAGAGAGAGAGAGAGAGAGAGAGAGGAGGGAGAGAGAAAGAAAAGGAGAGAGGAGAGAGAGGAGGGAGAGAGGAGAGAGGAGGGAGAGGAGAGATGAGAGAGAGAGGGAAGATAGGAGAGAGGAAAGAGATGAGAGAGAGGAGGAAGGAAAGAGAGGAGAGAGAGAGGAGAGAAAGGGAGGAAAGAGAGAGAAGGGAGAGAGGAGAGAGCGAGCGAGAGAGGAGAGAGGGAGAGGAGAGAGAGGAGAGAGATAGAGAGATTGCTGACATTTGCAGGTAGCCTAAAGCCAGTAATGAAAGGTGACAGAGATCAGGCAGGTATCAGAGTTAAACTGAATTTGGAAACTAAATTGCTCTGTAATTTCCATGAAACATGGAAATTATCTAATTGTTGAAGATTGGTGAGAACAAAAAAAAAAAAAAAAAAAAAGATTGGTTGAGAACACACCTAACAACCCAAGCCATTTGTTGCTAATATTTGAAAGTTTTAATTTTTTCCCTTGACTTACAGATTTCTCCCTTAGAATGGGCAGAATTGGGGGCTACAGAAAATTTGCTGATGTTTGTTTCCCTGTGGTTTCTGGTGGCTTTATCGAAATAACCTAGCATTTCTCTGCTGTACCAGAGGGGGCCACTGTTTCTGGACTGACCCCTGTGCTGACAGGGCGGTGACACAGAGCCCACATACTGCCTGCATGTCAGGGCCACCGCCCAGTCAACACCTTGCTAAAGCATAAATAACTGTTCCGTGCCCCCAGTCCAGACACACGGAACCCATTTTCGCCTACTTTATAATTAAAACATGGCTCTGGCCTTCCTCTGCTCCTATTTTGACAAGTATATTTAGGGAGTTAAACTTCCTGTTTTTTGGCCATTTTGATAAATTTACAGCCCAATCAGAACAGGAAAGAAGCCACCTGGATCAAGATTACATGTAAATATCAGTATCAACATAGTGCCCCTAAGATTGCCAAGGGTTGTGACTCTGGAAGGCTTTGGTCTGGACAACAATGAACCCAGAGTGAGAGGAATCATTCTGCATCTCTGGTGAGGAAGGCACTGGGGACTCAGACCCCGGCGTGACCCTAGGCCAGCCTCTCCCAGTGTCACATGTCCAGGCCCTCTGCAGGTTGTCTGACAATTCCTTCATTAACTGGATTAAAATGTCCAAGTAAATCTCTCGGGAAATACTACATGCTACAGGAGATAGCTCTGCTCTCTCTCTACCATGGGATCTCCCCAAGAAAACAATGAAGGGGAGCACAGTGCTTGCAGAGAGCCCTGAGTGTCAGCAGCACAGTCCTGGAGAGCCTGGTCCCAAACCTGTGACATGAGCACTGTGGGAGTGAACATGCCGAGTGTGGGCTATAGTACACGCCAGTTCTCCTCCACAAGCCGCACATTCCCATGACTCTTGAGAGCATTGGCAGCTGGTAGAAATCAGCTAAACTGCTTTCTGGAAATTGCCCTCAAAGACATCCACCTCACCCAGGGTCCCCTCCTACCCCAGAGGCAGTCTGCGCCACTGCTAGCTTGAGGCAGGTTACGAAGACTGGGTCTCCTTGCCTCAAGGCAGAGGAAGCTGCAGGTGCACACAGCCCCGGAGCCACCCACTGGCCCAAGACCTTTGTGACCGCACTGCAGTTCAACCTCCCCTTGGTCAGTGTTAGTTCCTCAGATCCCCACACCAGCACATAATGGGAGTTAATTTAGTGTGTGTCCTGGAGCTGCTGGCTTTAAAGGCTATTCCATTGCTGTATCTTCTCCAATAAAATCCCTACACACAAATGTCTGTCACAAAGAATGCTTCCCAATGCAAGATAGTACATTACTGTTTATCTAAGAAAGGTGTCTATGTGTAGGATAAAATATTTTAGAACATTTAAAAAATATTTTACATTACCATAAAAGACCAAATAAAAAAATTTTAAAATAGCCTCTAAAAATTAAAATTAAAACAAAACAAAATAAATTTGATTTCTAATGGTGGCATAACCATAAAGGAATTATTATTACAAGTAATGTGAACACATAGTAATTTAACTCTACATCCTAGGAGGTGGGAGGATACACCCTAAGGACAAGAACTGCAAAAACAATCTTGAACTTTTTTTTTTCTTCACAAACTCAACCAAGTGGTATTAAACTTTTCTTATTGGTGGTGTTGCTATATTGAGGCTGTTCTCTGTAGATCCTGTGACAAGTCAAATGAGTAATTATGTCAGTGTCATTGAAGCCTGAGATTCCTGGTAAAGTTAAAAGGAGATGCTGATAAGATCATTAGGATGCTGATAATGTAAGATCATTAATGTTAAATAAAAACCTCAGGGCTCAAGATTAGAATTGGAAGCATAATTATACATGCCTGATGTATTTTATCCTTGGGAAAAAATGTCTCTTATCTCTACTCCTGAAATGACCTACAAACTGACCCACCCAGTAGCAGCAAGAATGCTTACATCCAGAAGAAACCAGGAAACTTTGGAGAAATGGTTGATTCCAGGTCTGGAGCTGGAAACATAAAAGATAAACCTGAACATCTTTTTATGAAAAAAGATACTAGAATAGAAGGAGACTACCAAAGACTATCAGGATTGGGCCAAAAAGACACAAGGCCCAATCTGAATAAAGCTCCCATGGCCCGACAACACATAATGGTAGCAGTCGGCAATGAATGAGACTCACTAAATTTGTTTTAATCCACCTGCTTTTTTAGACAGAGTCCGCTTTGTTGCCCAGGCTAGAGTGAGTGCCGTGGCGTCAGCAACCTCACAGCAACCTCAAACTCCTGGGCTAAAGCGATCCTCCTGCCTCAGCCTCCCAAGTAGCTGGGCCTACAGGCATGCGCCACCATGCCTGGCTAATTCTTTCTCTATATATATTAGTTGGCCAATTAATTTCTTTCTATTTATAGTAGAGACGGGGGTCTCGCTCTTGCTCCTCAAGCAATCCGCCCGCCTCGGACTCCCAGAGTGCTAGGATTACAGGCGTGAGCCATCACACCTGGCCCATCTGCTCTTTTTTTTTTTTTTTTTTGAGACAGAGTCTCACTCTGTTGCCCGGGCTAGAGTGAGTGCCGTGGCATCAGCCGGGCTCACAGCAACCTCAGACTCCTGGCTCAAGTGATCCTCCTGCCTCAGCCTCCCGAGTAGCTGGGACTACAGGCATGCGCCACCATGCTCGGCTAATTTTTTCTATATATATTAGTTGGCCAATTAATTTCTCCCTATTTATAGTAGAGACAGGGTCTCGCTCTTGCTCAGGCTGGTTTCAAACTCCTGACTTTGAGCAATCCCCGCCCGCCTCGGCCTCCCAGAGTGCTAGGATTACAGGCATGAGCCACCATGTCCGGCCCCCATCTGCTCTTGATATATGGAAAACATACCCTGTTTGGTAACCTTTGGAAGACACAAGGAAACTACCTCATTCTGTTAATAAAAGAGATAATCAAGAATATATCCTGTCTTTTCTATATAATCTGTGCCACAGTAGATGAGGGAAATGTCTTTTTACAAAAGATAAGCAAAGAAATGGTGAGAACTGGTTGCAGCCTGTGATGAATTGACGGGTACAGGGATGTTAATCAAAGGCTGCTAGGTCCACAAAAAACAACAACAAACATACACCTGATGGAAGCACATAACACAACCTTTGAAGCATTTCTGTCTTCTATCCCCCAAATCAAACTTGAATTTGACAAGCTTCTAGATCCACCAATAAAATGACAGGAAATCTGGAGGCTAGAGGAACATGCTAAAGGTCACAATGAGGAGCAACCAACGAAATCCAGATTCGGGCAAAACTGTACAGGACAAACAACCAGTTTCTTTAACGGCAACAACAAAAAAGAGGAGAAATCGGGAATGAAATTATAGATCACAAAAGAGACTTAGGAACATATCAAAGAATTGCAACATATACATTTAAATTCCATCTTGATTTAAGCAAAATGTAAATTTTAAAAAACAAAACTGGGGAAATGTGAGCATTGACTAATGCTTTCATTTTTTAGACAGAATGCTTATCACTTTCAAATATATACTGAAATATTTACAGATGAAATGACATGGTATCTGGACTTTGCTTCAAAATGACACAGGGTGTGCATGCTAGGTGGGGGCCTAGTCAAAACAAGATTGGCCATGTAAGGGCAACTGAAACTCGGTGATGAGTGGAGAGAGTAGATTAAATCTACTTCAGTGTATGTTACAAACGTTTCAAAATACAAAGTTAAAATATGATTAAAAGTCAACTGAGAGAATACATGCAACACACGTAACCGATATAGTACAACTATCCTGAATACATAAAGAACTATGAATCAACAAAAGGACAAAATCCCCA